CTTGATCGTCGTCTCTGAAATGAAGCACTACGAAATGGCAGACATCCTCAAGTTTAAATTTTAAAGTTTACCTCTCAATGAGCGGTATGCTTGACTAAAATAGTATCTCCGGATGCTGACTACTTACCGAGCCAATCCAATATTTTCGGCTTCTCCTTGCTCTTTTCTTCTTCCTACTTCGTTTCTTCTTTGGCAATAATTTTGATTTCTCCGGTGCATCAGATTCATATGGTACTGCACAATAGGTCTTCTGAAAGCAGTGCACTTCTCGAATCGATTCACTTCAAATGTGGGTGATAGAGACATTCGGGGAGTTCAGTAGTCCACAAGTTTTGTTGATTCGTTAACTCGCACTCACATCTCGACATATTACCTCCATTTGTCCTTGCTCAACTGCTGGTGACAAGTTTGGTGGTACGACAGGCGATTGTTTCTCTATAGGTGACTGTTGATCTTGCTTTTTGATCTCAACGCTTTTCGCTACTTCCTCCTTATTATCTGCTGAAATTACCATCGTTGATATGAATTTTAGGAAATCTCAACTTGCCTTCTATAAAATAGTGGTTCGTTTGTAAACACGAAGATATCAACGGAGAAACGTAAGAACCTTGCTTATTTGCTCCATCAGATGCTCTATTTATCGGACTTTTTTCTGTTTGAGTACATTCCTCGTTTTCGGCTTTCCCAGTAACAGCTTGCTTCAATTCGGCCTTCTCCGCTGGAACACTTTCAGCTTTCATATTCTCTTTGATCTCGGGAGACGACTGATTTGTCACAGGTGTTGATTTATCCGGTTCTTGTTGATTTGGACTTATCGATGGACTTACTGAACTTCGATAAATTTAGAGATAAACAGTTCAATTGGTTCAATTGGTGCAAATATTCAGCTCAATCATTCCATGATCATACTATTTTGAGTTTATGAACATATCTAAGATATTTCCTTAGGATTCATTAATGTTTATCAAATAATGATGCTTACTCTGTACGGTGTCTGGAAAATACATGTCTAATCGCATTCCTCAAAGACCTTAACTCACCATCACCTCAAATTTTCTCATCGATTCGAGAGTATTTCAGGAATTTATCAGTTGACATGCCCTCCACTTGTTAAATCACATTCGTGCTCACAAACAAACCTGAAATCTTTGTTAGAGGTGTTCGTTTGCCAGATGATGGCGTTTCGCGTTGTTTTTCAACTTCAATTCCAGTTATGATATGATCCTCTTTATTTGCTTCCAAACTCCATAGCTCTTTGTCGTATTTGTCTTCATCGTTAGGGTACTGAGGCGGTAATTCATTTTGTCGAGCCATCTGATAAAGAAATTAAGTTTATCAATCACATTTAATGCTCATTCCCAAGAGATCAGCTTCTTTAGATCCTCACGATTCTTAGGATCCTTTACGAAACCTTCTCAAGTTGGATTAAACTTTTTTCCAACATTAGATTCTTCCGGTTTCTTGATCTTCTGAATCTCGTCTTACACCGAATCTGTATCAAATAAGAATCACTCAAACTAATGTTCACAATATTTTGATTTTGTGACACTGTGGAAAACGGCTCATTATAGGCATAATAGATCATACGAAGAAAAGCCCAGGTCAAATTCATAACAGATATTTGAATATTCATTTTATACGGAATCAAAGACCTCTTCAGCTTTATCCAACAGCAGATGTATCACTGGTCCAAGCATATTCACTTCATTTACCGGAAAATCGCTCGGTAAATCACCACCAGCAGAGGCAGCCATCTTCTTCTTTCCTCTTTACTGTCAGCCACTAGAAACAGCTCTGATTCGCAAACGATGTTTGAGATGCTCTAAAAATCAGATGTTCGCGGCTCTCATGGTTCTTTAATAATTCCATGAAATGGAGCTTTTCGAATTGCTGAGTTTAAACTCATTTTGATCTCTCTAACCACCCAAATCATATGATTGCAAGCCAGTTCTCCAGAAATCGCAATATTTCTCCTCGTTTACTCACCAAATAATTTCTCGTAGTATTCCGTTCTAATCGGTGAGATGAAATACAACCGCTCACCAGTTTTTGCCCCATACAAATACTGTTCCTTAACGTTTGCACGATACAATACTGCACTGATTGATAATGCCTCACCTATGCTGTTTTCTCATGTATTCAAAAAAATCACTACTGGAAATGATCGAATCCAATATGCAAATGATTTCGCATTATTTATAATATTTCTCAACTGATCATTATGATTCACTAAAATGTTCTGCATTCACAACACAATAAAAAATAGAAAGTGATAGAGTGCTGAGTTGAACTTTCATATTAAAAGCATAGAAATTTTTTATTAGTTTACTCATAACATATAAAAACTCTCACGTGTATCCAAATGTATTACTTCAAAAGAATTTGATAATAATGTCATTGAAATCTATCAAACGTTCATTCCTCTGCCTCAATAACAAATAACAATAACAACGTTTCACTATTGAGGCATATATAAACGTTCTCATTACACTAATTGTAAACGTTACGCGAAAATCACATTTACACGTGTCATAGCAGAGCTCAAAATTATATCATCCAACGCAATAAACAATCCAGGAAAGCCAAATAATATCCTAAAGCTTATTCAAAATCTACAAATCTAACAAATCATCTAGCTACATTGCAATAACAATAAGAGGTATAATAACAAAACTAAAATAACCAGGCAAAATAATATCAGTTTTTCAATTCATAACATAACACGGCCGCTGGAAATAACCCTTGAATGCACCTTATAAATGTGGAAACAGCGAACCAGAACACCACATCTTACAATAACGAGAAATACCGAAGAAACATGTGCTCATTGGTGTAAGTATCATTCGACATCTCCAAATCTTTCCTGAGCTATTCCTTGGAAGTCGCTCGGCCGATTTTGGTGGCGAAAATATTTTTCAAACGTCGGCTTTCCAAGAGACTTGCTTCCAGTTTATTCTGTACACTCCACTCCCATAGACGACTCAACGAAGCTTTATCGTTCCGCGCCACTGAAAACAATCAGTGAAAATGAATAAACAATTTAAGAAGTATGAGCAATGTAAACTATGAGAAGCAGAAAAATTTATGGGAAGTCGAAGAAGCCTACAGAGCAGAAAGCCAACAATTTCACGCGTATGATCGGAGAGGGACAACAGAAGGTTTGAATAATAATGTAATGCTGACTCTTTAAAAATAATACCAATAATAACAATACAGCAATTAAATTACCAGCTAAATCCACCCAACATTTTTGCACAATCAATGCCAGTACATGCAGTTGCTCGACATCCGCTTTATGTTTTTTCGTCTTCCTTTTCCACGCTGAACGATTCTTATGTCGTTTCGCCGAAAACATGCGATTAGCTATGAATTCACCAATGCTTTTACTGCATCCATCATCGCCTCCATCTCCTATGTGCCTCACAGAATCACCCGATTCGGTATCGTGCATCTGTTGCTTTTCAACGCAGTCATTTTGATCTTGCTGTTCAGTGGTCTTCGGAGAACGCTTTCTACGCACCGGATGCATACACTCACTTACGTGTGTAGCGAATTTTTCGATATTTGCGAGAGAAATCGAATTCTGCAATCAAACAAATAAATTCACACTAAATATCGGCTGAATTATATACCATCCGACGAGAGATAATATGAAAATTCATCAAAAATGACGCAGTAAATACCTCCTCGGTCATGCCATCTTTCACCATGCGATTCAACGGATCGCGAAAGTAGTTGCCAGGTATCGATAGCTGCAAATAATAAACTTATTCCTCAAATGAATAATAAATTCAACATCTCAACGCAAACAGTCTTTCAAGCAAATGAGGAACACTAACAAAATTAAACATGAATATTGAATTCAAAAGAACAGCACTAAACGAAACGGACATAAAAAT